GTTTCCTGACTCATCCTGGACAGGGAGAGTCGATGTTGGTGCCATGTCGTTTACCGCGAACATCTCCTTTGCCGCACGTTGTTCTCCGTACACCACTTTTATACCATCTTTTGTTGGGAACTTCATTGTCTGATGAAGAGTTGATGGTACCGCCCTCACGTTGTGTATCCGCGGTCTTCCAAGTAAGGCATTGTACCTCATGTCACCTTCGATGACATGAAACTTGGTGTCTTGAACTGTACCAGACACGTTGACTGGGAGGATGATTTCTCCCTTCGTTGTCTCGCTTGTCATGTTGAATCCATTGAGGGCTCGAGAGGTGGGTATGATCTGATCGAGCAGTCTGAGCTGCTCTACCACCTTCGACCTGATTATGTTGGCCGAGCTACCTGGATCCACAAGCACACGTTTAATTTGAATGTTATTCAAAAGAAAAGAAATTACTAGTGCACCATTATGTGGTTGGGACAAGGCCTCGATGTCTTCTTCTCTAAATGTAAGGGCGTCCTTGGGTATATATCTCCGAGTTTGCCTTTTCGTTGCGATGGACACTTTGTCCCGTTTGAAGATGGGTCCCTATGGGACGTCGGTTCCTCCAATGACCATGTGAATGATGTGCTGAGGTTCTTCTGGTCCATTCTTTCTGTTCGCCTCTCTTTCTCGAAAGTGGTTATTGGCTCGATTGCTGAGGAATTCTCGAAGGTGCCCTTCGTTGATCAGCCGGGCCACCTCCTCTCGGAGCTGCCTACAATCCTCGGTCATATGACCGTGAATGCCATGGTATTCGCACATCAAGTTAGGGTTCCTTCGGGAAGGATCTGACTGTGCGGGTTTTGGCCATCTGGTATCCCTAATTCTACCCATGGCTGATACGATGTTTAAGACATCGATGTTTAAATTGTATTCCGACAGTCGGGGTGCCTCCATTGGCCTCGAATGCCTGTCAAACCCGGTCTTGCTCATAAGTCCCGAGGAATTTTTCCCTCAATCTACTCCTCGATCATTTTGAGGTATATTCTGCCTCGAAGTGTCTCTTCGATCTTTGAAGTATGGCTGATACCTTTCTTTGCCTGATCTCGACTCCCTTTCTATAGACTTTGGTTCCGTTGCTAGGAGCCTGCTAGGATATACTGAGCCCGAAGGGGCTCCTAATTGGTCATTTTCGACCCTGATCTTCGATTGATACCTATTGTGCACATCCGCCCAGGTTACGGTGAGGTATTCGATCAAATTTTGTTTTAGCTGCTTCGAAGCTACCGAGCTTCGTTCGTTCAAGCCCTGAGTGAAGGCCTATACTGCCAAGTCATCGGAGACTGGTGGTAATTCCATTCGCATCATCTGAAAGCGAGATACAAATTCCCTTAGCATCTCGTTTTCTCTCTGTTTGATTTTGAAGACATCGGACTTCCTGGTGGCGACCTTGATGGCACCAGCGTGTGCCTTCATAAAAGAGTCTACCAACATGGCAAATAAATCTATTGAATTCGAGGGTAGGTTATGATACCACACCATAGCCCCCTTTGACAGCGTTTCTCCAAATTTCTTCAACAAGACAGACTCAATTTCGTCATCCTTTAAGTCATTCCCTTTTACAGCACAAGTATAAGAGGTAATGTGCTCATTAGGGTCCGTGGTCCCGTTATACTTCAGGACATCGGGCATTCTGAATTTCTTCGGGATGGGCTTCGGAGCCGCACTTGATGGGAATGGTTTCTGCATGAATTTCTTTGAATATACACCTTTTAGAATCGGGGGTGCGCTCGGGATCTGATCGACCCTCAAGTTATAAGTCTCCACCTTTTTATCGTTAGCCTCTATCTTCTTTTATCCCGATTCAATCCTTTTGGTGAGGTCCTTGAGCATCTTCATAATAGCGGGGTCTGCTGCTGACCTGTGTTGCTTGATCTCTCTGGTGCCTGCTCGACTCGAGGAGCCGTTTCCGGTGCTGCTGTGCTTGGAGTTTTTTGTTGACTTTGTAGCTGAGCAATAGCCACTTGTTGTGCTTGCAACATCTCAAAAATAACTTGAAGGCTAACTTCTCTTTCCTCCCGAGCTGGAGCCCCCTGTGCTTCATGTTGGTTTTCCCTGAGCACACTTCCGTTGGTATGAGAGCTCACATCGACATGCACAGCGTTGCGTGAGCCCATGTTGATGGGGATTTGTGCTGGTGCCACCCTAGGGTTTTGCGGTGGTACAACAACATCTACACCGTTCTCTCCATTAAGCCCAATACCGTTATTTTCATGTGCATCTGCTGAGTTAGATATTTTTTGACCTGAAATCAAAGATTCTTGGACAAGAAAAAGCGTGAAGGATAACTTGTGTGTTCAGAAAACCAGCACCAAAACAATCACTATTATTTTTATCCCCACGGTGGGCGCCAAACTGTTTACCTTGAAAATAGTATTAACAATTATATTTGATTTTGTGGTTCTAAAAATATGTGATTTATTTTAATACTAGTTGTTTGGCAATAGATGCTAAGTGTAAGTAAAGAGAACAAGATATGCAAACCAATGCTATCGCAAGACTGGGCCTCGAGCTGGCTGGAACAGGGTGCCTCAAGGTCTAGTTAAGGCGGTTAGCAATGAACAATTGATGAAGAAACAATGATATCGAAGGCCTCAAGATAGCCTTTTGCGGATAATAATGGGCAATAAATGAAGAACAATGAATGAACAATAAATGAACAAGCAATAAATCTGTAAAGTGATTGTTGAACACGTTTTAGGCAAAAAAAGCAGAGAATGTTCTATTGTATTCAATATTCATGTTTTTCTTACAAAATGACAAGGGTCCCCTTTATATAGGAGGGAGGGAGGGGAATCCCAACATAGTACATATCTAATAATGACGAGGAAATGTTATTGGTACAGCAGTATAATGGCTTAGTACGGATTTGTACTATTTCTTGCAGATTCTGTCAGTTCTAATCATATGCCCTCGCGAATATCCCGCCTTTCCTTGACGATCGTCGATTTTCATGCTGCCTCGAGGTACACTGTGAAGAGTCTTCGATATACCCTCTCGAGGCGAGTGCTTCAGGAACGAGCCTTAGACTGTGCTTCGAGTCCATCGAGGCCGGGCTTGAAACGCAATAGAAGCCTTAAATTGGCCTTCCCTGATTTTCACCGTATACATAAATATATGTACATAGCCTCCACTAAAGAATATAACAAACAGAAATTCTTAGCTATCTTCGTCTCTTTCCCTCTCTTTGATTGTGTCTTCTTCTTCTTCTTCCTAATATCTTCATCTTCACTGTATTTCTCTGTATATCACAACAATTTGAGGTAGGATGTTCTTATTTTTAGTATAGTATGATAAAAATGATACTTTAGTTATTTGCAATAAGATCAGAAATGAATACGCCCGTTTAAAGGTGCAAGAAACATAATGAGAGAATGTCACTGCCAGATGATGCTGAATGTATTATAAGAGAAAGATATACCTAGAAAAAGAAAGTCTCAAAAGATTTAGAATTCAGACAAATTTATCAAAAGATAGAAAAATTGAAATATAAAAACAATGTTGATCATACCAACCAAAAGAGTAGTACTTTAAAACTCTTAGTATATTAAAGATATAATTGTTAGAGTATATTGCAAAACGCTTAACGTTAGAAAATCTTTAAGTAATGCGTATTAAAATATTATGGATCCAAACAGAATATAAGAAAATGACACTGTATAGCCGCTCTCAAAATAATAACTGAAAAAATATATTTTCTTTTGTATACATATACATTCTGGATGTTATATACAAATTTTATACATATTTTTTTGCTACCAAATATAAATAGTTTCTGGTGCAGGTTAAAAATGATAATACCCCAATATTAATCTCATTGAGGATTCATGTTAACCTACCCATTTAGCTTGGAATGAGGCGTAGATGTTATCTTTCAGTTATTTGCAAGTTCAACTTTATCGTTGTTGGACTAATGAAATCTAGCACCGTCACCAACCCATTTGCTATCAAGAATGATTACTTGTAGAATTCTTCACATGGGCCCATATGGTTTGTGATCCACGTTTGTTTTCACATTCAAATTATGAAATCCACAAAACACTCTTGGATTCCTCAATAGTACTACATCATTACATGATCTTACCAGCCTTCGACATTAAGCAAAGTAGCAATTATTAGTTGGAAATATTCGTACACAAAAAGATACTATATCTCTTCTGAAAATAAGTGGGAAGGAGCTCTCTGTACCCTTCAAGATTATTTATTTTTTTCGAAGGAATTGATGCAAATTCCTTTAAAAACTGTGTTTTCATAGTTAAACAAGATAACAGTTGTCCATTATAATTATACTTATCTTAAAATTTTAGCACTGGTAATGAATTTCAATTTCTCAATCCACCACTTCCGTTATCTCCCACTAAAGGGAATCCAAGAGTATTGGGATGATGGAGCGCCAAAAGCAAAGAAAGTACATAAAATAATCATCTCTAATCATAAGTGCAGAATTGATAGAAAAACCAAAAGTATGAACAAACTGAGGCCTACTTAGAATTTTAGGGAGCCAAAAGGGCCAATTTAACGGTCTACACCCTAATAAAGAAAAGAACAAAGTTTAGCGTGATATTATCTGATCAGACTTTCTAACACTTCTGTTTTTTGCCGTTGAAATAATTATGTCCACCAAACCCTCAATATGTTTAGCGTGCAAGTTTTATACACTCTAATCCTATAAAGAATATCTACGCAGTCAAATAAAACAGAACAAAAGAAACACAGTTGAAATTTATACGTAAATGTCTTTTAAAATTACAACAAATAGTAAGTATGAACTTATTAGCCCATTCATTCTTCTCTGATCTCTCATATTCTTGATAAAAAGCAGTCTTGGGAGCACATTAACAATCTATCGAGATTCAGTTTTTTTTTTTATTATTATAAATTGGGGTAGGGTAAGGGGAAATGGGGGAGGGGATTATACGGTGGGAAATGGTGAAAATTCAGGTAGCCAAACTACTAAGATTCCTCCAATGTGAACAAAGAAAACTCACTACTGCAATATCATTCAATTTCCGTCATCGTCTTTCAACATAATTTTGATATATGAACATTTTTTTATAGAAGAGAAAACACAAAGGAAAAGGCAAGCACAAATAAAATTTTGTGTAAAAAAGTAGTATCACAAACTAAAATAAGAAAATCACGCTTTGAAGCACCAGGGGTTGTGATTATGGTGATTGTGAGAGGCAGCTTCCTTGTCAATCACCCCTTGAACATGTCGAAATTCCTCAATATGACAAGGAATCTTAATTGGACCTTTATGATCAAATCCATATTCTTCCTCTGCTTCCTTCAATAGCTGCATAAACAGCGGATGATTAATGTAAGTGACAGGAATAACAAACCTCTGCTGCTCTTCACCATGTCCCACAGTAATTGCCAGACACCCTTTTGGAATATCTTTCAATTCTTTCTTTCCATGGCCATGGTTATGATGAAAGTGAATTTGAGGCACATGAAAATGGAAATTCAGATGATGATGTCCCATCACTATACGATTGAAGAATCAATTAAAAAACAAGAATACCCTATAAACCTCTATATAGAGGGACTTCTTTTCTTGTTTGACAAAAGAGTATACAAGAGGTTATAATAAAACAAGAGAGAAAGGCCAAGGATCAGAAGCCGAGATGGCAAGTTTGAAGAGGGTAAAGGAAGACTCGGTTAAGGATTTTGGGATGTTGCTCATGTTCTACTGCATAAATCTTGCTCTGAATAAATTCTGATGATGAAAGTCGGAGTTTTTCCAAGAGACAGAGAAGTCTATATATACGCGTAGGGTTTATAGGGGCATGAGGAATACTTCTATACTTCCAAGGATAAAAATATGAATAGCTGGAACGGTTCATATCGGTGTGGTAAATGATCTAGTCCAAAAACGGAGGAAAAAGAAATGCTCTACTTTCTAGATTTCATATTTCACAAAAAAGGGCGAAATATACCCTGTATTTGAAAATATCATTCCTTTTACTATTTGGTTATTTTCGACATACCGTTATACTATCATTCAATTGGATAGACTGTCACGTGGCTTCATCGGAATAACAAGCCCATTTGGATTGACTTAAAAAAAAATTCAGCAAAAATAGCTTTTAATCCAAAAACCGATAAGTTGTGGTTGCCCAACTTATTGCTTTTGGCTTGTTTTAAGCAGTTGAAATAAGCTAAAAAGAGCATAGCAGCTGATTTGACCAGCTTAAAAGTCAGTCCAAACACCCTCTTAAATAACTCATCCTTATCTTTTTTGGATTCACTACCAATTGCGGAGGGTTCGTGTGAGAGCGTGAATGTGGACTTGATCACTTGTCTGCCTAAGTCCGACGTTTATAATACTATTGTGATGGTTGTGGATAAATTTTTGAAAATATGCCACTTTCATGCCTGCATCACCAGGTTAAACAGCCAAGGAAGCTGTCAAGTTATTCTTTAAGACTGTGGTAAAGTATTGAGGCTTACTGTAACAACCCGACCATCCGTTTTGAGCATTTGCTTTCAGTTCAGCGATTTGAGGTCACGAATAGCTTTACATGGTGTATTATGACTTGTACGTATCGTTGGTTTTGATTTTCGAGTGGTTCGGGATTGGTTTGGATGAATGATTCTCATTTTAGAAGCTTTAAGTTGGAAGAACGGACAAGGTTTGATTTTGTGTATTTGACCTCATATTGGAGCTTTGATAATTTCGTTAGGTCTGGATGATGATTTTGGACTTGAGAGTATGCCAGGAATTGAATTCGGAGATTCCTAGGTTGATTTGACTTGTTAGGCCGAAAGTTGGCAATCTAAAGGGTTAGAATTTTCTTAAGTTTGACCATGGTTTGACTTTACGGCTATCGGGTTCGGATTATTATTTTGGGACTTGGAATAGGTCTGTTTTGCTATTTGACTTATCTGCAAAATTTGGTGTCATTTGGAGGTGGTTTGATATGATTCAGATGCTTGGTTGCAATTCTAGAAGTTCTTAAACTTCATTGAGATTTTCATGAGTTTTGGTGTCCGATTTGTGGTTCTAGATGTTATTTTGGCGTTTTGGTCGTGCGAGCGAGTTTATACGATATTTATGCACTTGTTTTAATGTTTGATATGGAGCCCACGAGGCTCGGGTAAGTTTCGGACGCGTTTGGGAGTATTTGGAAGAATATAAGTTTTGCTGGTTTTTGTCTGGTGGTTCAGGTCTCGCAAATACGAGATTCTGTTCGCATTTGCGAGGAGGGTTCCGCATTTGCGAGGTTGGGGTGGCACCGTGGAGTACGCATTTGTGAATAAATTGATCGCATTTGCGGTTCCACCAGGGCGTGGGATTTTCCGCATTTGCGACATTCCTGTCACTTTTTCGAAGTGCCAAGTTTCGCGTTTGTGAGCTTTATGTCGAATTTGTGATGTCAACAGAGTTGGTCAGTGATCGCTTTTGCAATCATGTTTCTGCATTTGCGGGATTCGTATTTGCGAACCCCAGGTCGCAAATGCGACATCTGCAGCTTCATTATAGCTGAGTATTTCGGGATTTAACTTCATTTTATTATATTTTGAACCCTAGATATGGTAGGAGACGATTTTGTGGAAAGATTTTCATACTAAACCATTAGGTAAGTGAAATTGATCACTTTTCAATTATAATACATGATTATTTATGAGATTTAACATCAAAATCATGGGATTTGAAAGAAAAATTTAGGGATTTTTGTCTATGTTTTGAAAAATAAAATTTTTAGATTTGAGAGTCGAATTGGACTCGGATTTGAAAATAAAATACATATATGAACTCGTGGATCTATGGGTAATCGAGACCTACCCTTCGACTTGGATTTTGACTGGTGGGCATGGGGTTGACTTTTGTTGACTTATGGGGAATTGAATAAAGATCATAGCTTTATTAATTGAAATTGGTTTCTCTTGCATTGATTGATATTATTAAGTCATTTTTGGCTAGGTTTGAGCCGAACAGAGGTGACCTTCAAAGGAAAAACTATTTTGAGTATTGATTTGGTCTTATTGATGTAAGTATCTTGCCTAACTCTGTACGAGGAAAACTACCCCTTAGAATTTGGGTTAATTGTACTATTTGAAAATTGTGGAAGATGCATACACGAGGTGATGAGTGTGTACACGGGCTTATATGTGGTATTTGGCCGATGTAGACTATTAGACTTCTTTCATGCATTTGATTGAAGTTGTCATTTCATGTTATATCTTCTATTGTTAGGCTTGCTCTTACGTGCTTTTCTTGAAGTTGTTAGTACATGTTCTATCTTATATTGTCAAGTTCACTCTTACATGCTTTAATTGTTAACTAGTAGTCGTACCCGCGCGATGCGCGATCAGTATTAAAAAATATTAATTAAATTAAATTATGATAGGGCTTGTTTGATCCTATTAGATTGTATTGCTTTAATAAAATTCAATTGTCATCTTACTTGTCAATACGATATACCCAATAATGAAATCTCTATTAAATCAAAGGTACTTATATAGTTAGTGAATAATTTTTTTGTTCTATATATTTTTTATTATATTAACCAATATTTAATATTCGCTTTCTTTTTGTCATATATGAGAAGATTTATAATTTATTACTGTTGAAATATTTTTTTTATTTTAAATTTTATTCTATTGTTCTTAATAATATTATCTAAATTTTAATGAACAAAATCTCTCTTAAACTAACGGGACTTATACAGGGAGCGCATTGAATAACTTTTTTGTTATGTATTTTTCTTTATTATATCATCTAATATTTAATATTATTACATTGTTAATAGAAAGTTTTATTAGCATATTACTTTATTAAATATTTTTCTCTGAAAGTTTTTTATGTCTTTATTTTCGTTTTATTTATTTTAAAATAATTTTAAAACTCCAACTTGAAACTAATCCCCAATTTGAATTGTTAATTTATTATTTTTTTAATTTTGTTTTTTATTTTAAAATTATTTAAAACTCCAACTTGAAACTAAATCCCGATTTGAATTGGTAGTTTTTCTTCTCTTTCTTTCGTTTTTTTATAGCTAATTTTTTTTGCTTTTTTATTTTAAGATAATTTATAAACTCCAACTTGAAACTACTCCCACCCAATTTGAATGGGTAGTTATTATTTTATATATTTATTTTTATAATTTATTACTGGTGGAATATTTTTTTAATTTAAATTTTATTCTATTGTTCTTAATAATATTATCTAAATTTTAATGAACAAAATCTCTGTTAAACTAACGGGACTTATACAGGGAGCGCATTGAATAACTTCTTTTGTCACGTATTTTTCTTTATCATATTTAATATCATCTAATATTAGCATATTACTTTATTAAATATTTTTCTCTGAAATTTTTTTTATGTCTTTATTTACGTTTTATTTATTTTAAAATAATTTTGAAACTCCAACTTGAAACTAATCCCCAATTTGAATTGTTAATTTTATTTTATTTTTAATTTCGTTTTTTATTTTAAAACTCCAACTTGAAACTACATCCCGATTTGGATGGGTAGTTTTTCTTCTCTTTCTTTCGTTTTATTTATAGCTAATTTTTTTTTTTTGCTTTTTTATTTTAATATAATTTATAAACTCTAACTTGAAACTACTCCCACCCAATTTGAATGGGTAGTTATTTATTTTTCGTTTTTTTAATTATATTTAATTATAAGATATCTATATTTATTAATTCAAATAAAGTAACCAATTAATATATATATATATATATATATATATGTTAGTTTTTATTTTATTTTATTATTTTTATTTTTTATATATATTTAAATTCAAAAATAATAACCAATAACTTTTGTTCTATATTTTTCTTTATTATATTAGCCATTGTTTAGTATTCGCTTTCTTTTTGTAATATGTCAGAAGATATATAATTTATTACTGATGAAATATTTTTTTGTTTTAAATTTTATTCTGTTGTTCTTAATAATATTATCTAAATTTTACTGAATAAAATCTTTGTTAAACTGTCGGGACTTATACAAGGAGCGCATTGAATAAATTTTTTGTTATCTATTTTTCTTATACAGGGAGCGCATTTATTTAATTTTTAAAACTCCAATTTGAAACTACTCCCAAATTTGAATTGGTAATTCATTATTTTTTTAATTTCATTTTTTATTTTAAAATTATTTTAAAACTACAACTTGTAACTACTTCCCGATTTGAATGGGTAGTTATTTTTTTATATATTTATTTTTTGTTTTTTTATATTTAATTATAAGATATCTATATTTATTAATCCAAATAAAGTAACCAATTAATACATACATACATACATACATACACACACACACATATATATATATATATATATATGGTAGTTTTTTATTATTTTTGTTTTTTATATATATTTAAATTCAAAAATAATAACCAATAACTAATTATAAACTAAATAACTAATTATGCCATGTGGCATTTTTTTAAGTTGCCACTTGGCTTAAGGGAGGGCTTTTTCCTCTCCTTTTAATAATATATAGATTGCAATTACTTGTTGAATTCATGACTTGTCTGTTAAGTGCCTTAATTTTTAATTGATCTTTGTAATCGTGTCTTTATTTATGAGTTGTCATTTCTTGCTATTTGATTATGTGAGTTATTTTAACAACCCGGCCGATTGTTTCGAGATTTGTAGCCCCATTCCCCTATTTTTCTACTTCTTTTGTGTTCTATAGTTGTGTTATGACTTACCGGGTTAGTTGGTTTGGGTCCGGAGTGGTTTCGGAGTGAATTGAGACACTTAGTCTCTTATGTGAAGGTTTAAGTTGGAAAAGTTAACCGGATGTTGACTTATGTGTAAACGATCTCAGATTTGAATTTTGATGGTTCTGTTAGCTCCGTTAGGTGATTTGGGACTTAGGAGCGCGTCCGTAATGCGATTTGGAGGTTCGTGGTAGAATTAGGCTTGAA